GGACGTCCTGCTGCAAGAACTGATGAGCTTGGAACCTGTTGCGTTCCAGAAGGTTGCGATCGACATTGACTCGTTCAGAATGGCGAGTAAGTATCGATCCATAGAGTACTTTTAACGAGGATGAGCTATTTGGTTTATAGATGCTGTTGTTGGTATGCGCGATTAATGGTGTTGGGTTTTCAAAATGGTCAGCTGATTAGATGTATATAATTTGTTGGTTTATATAGTGTTATGGGTGATTTAACTCTACGGTGATACCACTCCATGTTTTATCTAGATGTTGGTCACCAATATTTTTTCTTAACGAAGTAGATGTTATTGATACTTTTATATAAAAAGTAGGTAGGTATACGTAGAATAATACAAACAAACAAAAAAGAAAAATGCAGGTAAAATAAAAACCAAAGGCCCCCACAAGCCCCTCTTCTAAGCCCGCCCTCTTCGCAGGAGAGAGCAACGTCACCCGGACGGAATCAGCTGCCTCCTCGGCGCCCAAGGAGGAGGAGGAGGAAGTCCAGGTGATCAAGGTCGAAGGAACTCAGGAGTCTCCCGGAGGATCCATCGTGATCAAGAAGCCCTCTGGCACCGCGGACCGCTCGCAGCAGGTACGGAAGGAGCAGCTGCAGTCAAGGTTTCTTCTGTGGAGAAATAGTGTTAGAGTTCTGCCTGTTTGGCCGCTGTCGGTTAAGTTATGCTGAGAAGGAAGGGAGTTGTGTTTGAGTTTTGTCAGATACTTGTAGCATATTGTAATTTTGAATGGAAGGTTTTTATGCCGGTCTTTGTTTAATTATGCCATTGAGGCTTATCAGGGGAAAAATATTGAATTTTGATTCTCTTGTGCTTATGAAATTCACTTGTTATTATTGTTATTGTTATTATTTATTTTTTAATTATTATTATTATTATCATCATCATCATTTTTGTTATTATTATGTTTATCATTATCGTTATTATTATTGTTATCATCATTATTATTATCATCATCATCATTATTATTATTATTATCATTATTAACATTATTATTACAGCTAGTGTAAAGGCAGATCCATCCTCCCAAAACCTTACTGAGCTATGGAAACCAGTGTTGGATCTTTCTGCGCATTTGTAATAACTTATCGTTGTGTGAAAGTGACTAGGACTAACAAATACTTCCGCTACCGTAAACACATTCTCACCATGATTTTTATCATATTTGTTCTTATAAGCCTTAGTACTTACACTGATTTCCCTCCTCGCGCGCCAGGAGGAGAGCAGCACCGTCGCCAACCTGATCTACCAGTTCGGCGCCTGGCGGCCCGTCAACCCCTACAACTTCCGGCCGTCTTCGCCCGACCCCTCGGCCGTCACTCCGGCGAACCCGCCCCCGCGCCCCCCGCCAGCACCCCCGCCCGCCCATTCTACAACCCCACCCAGAGGCCAGCACGCCCCTCGAGGCCTCAGGAGAAGGACAAGGCCGTCACGCCTCCGCATCGCACGACCAAGAGGACTACGACCAGCAGCACCACGACTACGGCTTCTACTACTACAACTACGACTCCTCCTCCTCCGCCTCCAACTACGACGACCACAACCACAACCACACCACCTACAACAACCACTACAACCACGACGACGACCACCACGACTCCTCGACCCACGACGACCGCAAGCGCGAGCACGTTGCAGTTCAACAATCGGTTCGGAATTCCCCTCGAGGACCTGGGCTCGAAGGAGAACAAGATGACGACGAAGAGGAACCCGTCGAGGGACGACCTCCAGGCGATTCTGGCGGACCTGATGTTCTTCACGACTCCTCGACCTCGTCCTCGACCTCGTCCCCGGCCTCAGCCACGGCCTCAGGCTCCCCTTCGAGTCCCCGACGAAATCACGATCTTCTCGAGGCCGAACTATAACGCAAGACCCACCTCGACGCAGCCTCCCCCTAACCGAACCCCGAGCTCGGCGGAACACCTGATCACATTCCAGGACATCTTGGAAGGAAACCGGAGACGTCCTTTGTTCTCGGCCTCGCATTCCTCGGCGGACAGCCAGACGGCCTCGACGGCCTCCCACCAGACGCTAGGACTGCCCCATGTCACGTCTTACACCGGGGTGAGAGAACCTCAGCCTCCGAAGCCACCTGCAGATTTCAGGTTCCCTCTGGACAGATTCCGATACCCCAGCACCTCGTACGCGGTCACAACCATGCCTCCCGCCACCGAGCCCACTGTCGCTGCTTCGTCTTTCAACATTTGGGATTTCCTCACGACCAGGAAGCCTCTGATTCTGAACACAGAGGTGGTGACGTCAACGAGCATCGACGTCCAGTACGGTTCAACGTCCTCAGATCAAGGAACAACACAATATGGTCCTGTGTATAGACCGACGAGTGAGCTGGCCCCAGTCTACAGACCAACCATCGACAATGGACCAGTCTACAGACCTGATCAAGGGACTACAGACGAGTATGGCCCGGTGTATCGGCCCAGCAGCGAGCCAGCACCTTTAAAAGAATTTTCGGGAGACCAGAATTTCCTAACGGTCCCTGTGATATCGGGTACTAACGTCCGCTACATCACCATGAACAAGACGCGCACCAACTACCCCAACGTCGTTATCGTAAACCTTCAGGCGACTCCCGAGGCCGAGACGACGACGCCCGAGACCTCCTCGCGGGGCGACGGAAGGAGATTCAATACGAAATTCCTGGAGGACATTTTCCAGACTGTGCTGCGCAACACGAACTACCGCGGCATAGACGGAGCCACGCACTTCAGGAATTCCGGCTTTTCAAACAGAAGAGGAAAACCTATCGACCTCGACATACCAGACTCACCTGCGCCCTTACTTGACGAGGAAACCAATGAGTCTCTCTCCCTCTGGTCTGTCTTGAGGAACCTGAGCCAAGTATACCTGTCCGATCCCGCCATCATCCAGCAGCTGCAAGATTTCGAGAAGGCAGCTTCACAAAAAGCAAATCGAGGTACAACAGCTACATCAACATCACAATCCACAACTCAAGATCAAACAACAACACCCAATTTGACGCCATTCTTCCAGCATTTAAGAGGCTCTCAGAATCCCTTCCTGAAGAATTCCAACGTCGTGGCAAGCCAGCAAGCTCCTGCTTACGCGTACATCCCTCTGCATGACCCAGACGCATCAGAGCGTAGCGATGCCTCGACCGATGACGACAAGGGCCCTGCGCCTGCGTTGAACTACACCCTCCAACACATCACGCCTCGCCCGGCATCAGGTGTCACTTACCCCATGGATTATACGCCACAGCCCATCCGCTACACCTCATCGCCTTTCACCACCTTGTTCATGACCGGCGTCGGAGGCAAGAGCTCGGGCAGCCCGCAGGTGATCAGCGTGTCGAGTCGTTCCCCCGTCATTCCGTCAGGTAGCTCCTCGATGACGAACTCTCCGATCCACACATTCGTCCTCAAGGAAGGACAGAGCATGGAGGATCTGCTTCAAGAGATCTTCGATACCATATCGCTGGAGGAAGAGAACGAGGCTTTTCCCTCCACTGACGCTCCGAGTTCAGACGTCGAAACGACGACAGAGGATTTAGAAACTACGTACCAGACCACGCGCGAGACGGAGAGCCGAGACAGCGTCTTGGAGTCCATCAACAGAATCCTTCAGCAGCACCTCGAGAAGATGAACAACCAGTCCAAGGACTCCTCCCGAGAGCAAAGTTCGACGGCGCCATCGACGGCGCCTGAGCCCTCTCCGCCGTCTCGAGAGCCGTCCAAGCCGCACGAGGGAATCGACCCCATCCACGACCTCTTCCCCGTCATGACCCGCCCCATGAACTTCATCCGAACCACCACGCCCAAGCCCTATGAGATCCTGGACGACGGCGACAACGAGATCAAGACGACGGTCGTGGGAGACGGCATGGCCTCCACGGAGGAGGTCAGGACGGAGACCTCGATAGACGTGTCCTACAGCGTCCACTCTGCCACCACCGAGATAGCGCTTATCAACAACGACACAGTGCAAGGTACATGTCGTGGATTTTTGCGTCATATGAACTGGTTTGTTCTTAAAATAGTTTCTTTAATGATTAGTAGTTCGTCTTTTAACATAAAACTTGTTTATACATATATTTAATTGTTTATTTGTTATTTATCACATATTTGTCGTGTTTGTCTTTATTTGATTTTCACAGTTTTATTGAAATTTATTTCTGTATATTTCCACATTGCTTTTATTAACTTGGTTTATCTTATAGCTATCATTAACGTGTGCTGCCTTTATCCTTCAAGCATTTTTGTCAACCACAGCATGTCAGAGCAAGTCCCAGTTCCGTTGCAAGTCTGGCGAGTGCATCGCCGAGTCCTCGCGGTGCAACCTGATCCAGGACTGCCGCGACAGCTCCGACGAGCGGGACTGCTCCTGCGCCGACTTCCTCAAGAGCAAGTTCCTCACGCGGAAGATCTGCGACGGCATCGTCGACTGCTGGGACCACTCGGACGAGTCCAACTGCGGTGAGCCTCGACCCGGGGAGTCTCTCCTGTCATTGTCTGTGTGTGTCTGTCTGTGTGTGTGTGTGGTGTGTGTCTGTGTGTGTGTGTGTGTGGGTGTGAATATGTATATGTATGTATATATGTATATATGTATATATGTATATATATATATATATATATATTATATATATATATATATATATATATATATATATATATATATATATATATATTATATATTATTTGTTTATATTATATAGATAGATAGATATGTACACACACACAGACACATATACACACATCAATATATACATATATATGTAGATAGACAGAGATAGACATGTCAATATGAAATGTCAATGTCTCGATCCATGTCTGTCTCTCCTATCCCCCCCCCCTCTCTCTCTCGCTTGCTCTCTGTCTCTTCTCTCTCCCTCTCTCCCTCACCCCTCACCCCCTCACCCCTCCCTCCCACCTTCCCTCTCATTTTCTTTTATTTTTCTCTCTCATTTTCATTCTCCCTTCCCCTTACCCCTGCTCACACCACCCTCCCCGATTCCAATATCCCCCACAAGCACCCCCGTCTCTACCGTCCCCTCCCTCCCCCTGCCCTCAGAGTGGTGCAAACCGGGCCAGTTCATCTGCCCGGGGACGACCCAGTGCATCGAGCAGAGCCAAGTGTGTGACGGGATCACGGACTGCAAGGACGGGGACGACGAGAGGACCTGCGTCACCATCGCCCCGGACGTCCCCGCGGCCAACTCTCTGGATTACCATGGCGAAGGTAGGGAGCGGTTGTTAATTGGTTGTTTGGTGGGGAGGGGTTGTTTCGTTTGATGTATATATTGTTTTTGCTTTTGTCTTGATTTTTCCTTAGAAGCTGACGATAGAAATGGTTTCAGAGATTCTCATTCTATTCTTCAATAGTTTTTAAACAAATACATTTTTTTCCTGGAAGGAAAACATAGAGTGTGATTTTGAATATACATGCAAGAAGCGATTTCAGATGCGTATCATGTACATCGGAAAAGCTAAACCGTCTCCGCCTTTTCCAGGGTACCTGATGGTGCGGAAACACGGCGTCTGGGGAAAGCTCTGTCTCGACAACTTCGAGCAAGTGACGTCTCGAGCTTCTGCAACCTGGACGGTGTCAGACTTAGGCCAGGCTGTGTGCAAAACGCTCACTTTCAGGTACGTGAATCCATTCATGTTCTATATAAATCATTTGATGTACAGTCTGGAATGTCTTGGACTTCCGTGTATCCGCATTTTCATGCTTTCTAGTATGACAAAATAACGAAAGGGTATCACAGACCGCCCCAGTGTACAGTACGAGCTAAGTGCTAATGGAATATAACATGCTCAACTTCCTTTCCATTCTTCAGCAACTTCAGCCGCGTGGAGCGCTCCCCGGACACGACCCTCGTCAAGCGCTCGCGGCCCAACATCCCCTCGAGGTACCACTCGCTCCTCCCGCCTCCTGATCCTGCAGCTCCTTCGCCCGTCTACTACGAAATCAACGTTTCTGACAAGGGGTTCCTGCCCACGCGCGCCCGCTCCGTACCCGAGGACACGTCTTCGGCGACGGACCTCACTCTCTCCTTAGACTTCGAGAAGACGACGTGCCCGAGGAAGGACGTGGTGAAGGTCTCTTGCGAAGGACTGCAGTGCGGGATGCGGCCGCGCGCCGTGCACCATCGCGCCAGGTGGGTTGAGGCGGAGGTCGCGGCTTTTGAACGGTTCCGGCTGGGGGCGCTTGGGCGCTGTGACGGGGAGACACAGGGGCTTTGGACGCCGGTGCTGCTGGCTGTGGCCGAGATAGGTTGGGGAGGGGGGGGGTCTGTGACCAAGACAAAAGGGGTTGATTTCTATGACCAAGACAGGAGGTCGTTATCTGTGATCAAGACGAGGGGCTCTGAAGTACCTCGCTTTGCCTTGAAATCTTGACGACCAGATTAGGATATTTTAAGGCACGTGGTTTTGATCTGTGATCGACAGAGAAGGATGTTCATGTCATCTGTGACTTCATGACAACAGAACAGGAGAACGTGTTGAATGTCATGACTTGGAGAACAAAATACTGACACTTTTACTCCTAGTTTCTTCTGTTATCTTTCTCATTTCTTTATACGTAAGTGAGTAAATTTAGCCAGTTTATGTAGTGTTGTCTTACCACACCAAATAATCATTAAAAAATAAATTAAAAATAAACCTACCTCTTAAATATAATTACCTTAAATTTCTCCAATTCGCTTCTTAAACAATCAAATTTAAAGTATCTCCCTTGTACAAAACCATTTTTCGTGACCTTTCTTCAGGTCGACCTTCCTTTGTGCTGTACCTTCTTCAAGTATATTAACTTTGCAGGTATTACAGAAGTGGCAGGCGTCGTCAAGCGCGGTAGGTAGCGCCGCACACAATACACTTGCTGCTTTTACCCTAACCCGCGCCTGGCCAGCATTTTAGGGATATCATCTTTTGTTATTACTATTTATCGATATATTAATTAATTAGTCAGTTTATTTGTTTATTCATTTATTATTGTTATTTTTGCTTACATTTTGGGGGCTCGGTATATTTCAAAATCTTATATATATTGTAGTTTTAAAATTATTTGTTGATTTTGTAATTTTCGTTTTTATCTCAAGAAGGGTTAACATACTATGCGTTTACTAATATAGTGCTTTTATTTTCTTTATTGTTTTTTTTCTAATTCATTATTTTTTTCAAAATTCATTACGTTCATATATATTTCAGCATATCATAATTTTTAATTACTAAATAACTAATTCTCGCTTTTGTGATTGCGGGGGCGAATGTTTTACTGTGTGTCTGTTCTTAATGGCGGCCGAACATTCTCCTAAGATGCTGAAATTTGCTGTTTATGGGAGGCAAATATTCCCCTAAAATTCTTAAAGAAAATGAGGTGTTTTTGTGCAATGGACCTTCCAGAATGAGGCGTTATTGACATATGTTTTCCGTTTCGGTCAACACACGATAAGCATCCGGATATTAAATTATTACTTTTATCAGTCAAACG